GGTTGTATGGCAATATAGATATATATTCCACACTCACTGTGCTAGTAGGTCAGTACTCGTCCTTTAACGGAAGAAAATGTCCTTAAACTTGGATCAAGCAATATAATTTATAAAGTCTCAAAAATATCATATTCTGAATTGTTATTATATTTTTTTTCTTACATGCGCATAGTTTGAAAAGGACAGCCCTGTCTTATCTTTTTTCTAATAGGGGGACACCGGTCTCAACCTCCAGGTCTCGGACAGAGTCAACCAGACTACAGACTTTTCATAGGGTAGATTGTTGCTTGCACTTGAATAAATTTGTCCACTAAATTTTAAAGTGGGTGATTTGTGCCACATGAAAATCGTACAAAAAGTAACCGGGGGCCAGATGAAAACATAAATTTACCAGAAAGTGGTTCGTTTGTTTTATTTTCATGTCTTCGCTCGGTGCCCCCTGATGCAAAATACTACATAGCACAAATCAGCCTTCATAAAATTTCTTATCTACGATAAATGTTAGTTTTTTTATCTATACAAAGAATTAGATATTGAACATGTATTAGTACAGTTATGTTCACCTTTGAATTGAACTGATATTAATAATGGCACAACCAATAAGTGTCTAAATATCATACAATATATAAATTATTTTAATTAAGACTGTGTAAGGTTTTCTTTTTCTTATTGTATTAATTAAGAATTAATCTACTTGTTAATTAAAACATTTAAAAGTATCAGTCACGGTTTAGAACTGTTCACTATTTAGCTGAGAAAATGTGTAAGCGGCCAGATGGTTGCTCAATCGCTACAGCCGCGGTACACTATAATGTGGGTCACAGGTTCGAGTACTGGTCAAGCTGCACGTTTTTCTCATCCTGTGACTACATGTAACCCAGAGTTTAACTCACTATGCTCTTATAAACATTAGAAATTCGACGACAAATATCAAAAAAGTGGGGAAATATGTTATCGTTTAGAACTGTTCATTATTAAAGAGATAATGTGTAGCCGGCTGGATAGCTCAGTTGGTCTTCTGACAGTTATGGGTTCGAGTCATGGTCAGGCAGTTTCAGTCAGGGTTTAGAAGTGGTTTTTCAACTGACACATGTTTGATTAATTTAACAGATTGTATTTTAATTTTAAATGGACAAAGGCAATATTGTATGCATGATACTTTTAGATTTACAAAAGGCATCTGATACAGTTGATCACACTATAATGCACATGAAACTTCAAGCATCTGCCATAGATAATGACATTCTTACAATTGGTTCAAGTTTTATCTATGATAGGCAGCAGCTGATGGATGTGGCTGGTACTCATTCTACTACTGCTCCGAGTATTTATGGTGTCTCCAAGGGGTTAATTTTAGGTCCTCTTTATGTCTAATATATGCCAATGACATGTTTGCAACCCTTAGCAATAAGTTTTTATTATATGCTGATGACTCAGGTATTTTTGTATTTGGTAAAATAAATCTGAAGAAATTTTGGCATGAGAATTTTAAGTAATTGGTTAATTGACTATAAATTGTCTTTGCATCTTGGCAAGAGAGTTTATTCTTTTGGGTTCAAGTTTCAACTTAGACAGGGTCCTAGCCTCCAGGTCACATGCAGTGGTTATGATATAAAGTACACATATTTTGTTAAGTATTAAGGTGCAAGTCTTAATATATTTTGGCGTCGCCTTTGATGTTTATCATCAATACTTTTCTTGTGTTCCTTATTTTATTGCTCCGCGCCCACAGACCGATTTTTATCAATTAATCCCTTCGATTTATAGCTTAAAATAAATTCGGAACGGTGAATTCTTTCCGATTTTTAATGCAAATTCATATATTGATTCGCAGTATGTAATATTAATGAATGAGAACGGGAACAAATTTCACGCTCTCAGTCGCTGGGAAAGCAGTATAAAAGACAAATCAAAATAAACTTAAATTCAGTAATTTATTTGTTGTATCTTCTAAAGGAAATTACGAATTATTTTATAATACACAGTGGGTTATGTATGTACATGAATTCGAAAGCTATAAATAGATGACCTTAACATTGTGTAAGTCCCAAAATCTATTTAAAGAAGTAGTTTTAGTTTTGAGGCTGAAACTAAACGAAACGGTCATTCGTGTCGCGCTTTGGTGATAAATAACGAATAAAGAATTTTGCAGGAAATTAAATGCAAACATATTCAACAATAAAACTCACTCATAATAAATTAACCGAAACAATTTAAGTAGGCCAATTTTTACGAATTGTTATATCATAGTATTATCATTTTGGAATTGTCTCTTCAGTAGGTTCTTTCCGGTCAATTAATAGCTGGGCCATCTTCTGTCATTTTTTTTACCGTGAATATTGAATTCAACACTGATTTCCCGCATTTTTGCTATAAGCGGCTGATTCTATTTTGTTTTCAAGAAGGCAATCGGTTCGATGATGGTTTGAGTGGAATGTTGATTTGCCGAATACTGTGGCAATTTAGCAACAGAAACTTTCGTCTTCAGTTTAACATGAGACGTTTTGGGTTTATTGATAGGAATGTAAACAAACTTGTTGGTCAGACGAGGATTTTGAAGCAATTCAACAAAAAAAAAGTAGAATGTCAATTAACAATAGCGCTTTATTTATCAACAAAGTCATGTAGCTTTTATATCTTTGACTCGCATGAACATGATATGATGTTAGTGAATTTCCTCATACCTGTCTAAAATTTAAGTAACAGTTTCCATTATAATTATTGATAAATAATGTTTCACCATATCAACATGCCGTGCAAATTTATTCGTGATTTTATAATGTTTAAATAATGGTATCAGAGAAATGCAAGATTCTCGTTACCTGAATAAAGTAGCGATAAATGTATAATTATTTGTCATAAAAGTAGTCAAAACAATGTAATATTTGACTTCCATATAAAATACTGATTCATCATAGCCAAAGAGAACAGATGAAAAAGATGGTTCAGGTTACTGGCTAATGAGTATTTTTGGATACTATAGAAGATCATCAAAATTAAAAGGCCTTTAAGAAAAACAAATAAAAGCATAATGGGCCTTTAAACGTTATTTTTGTAATCTCGGGGGGGGGGGAGCGCGGTAGTGTATGATATATTTTAGTACTATCTGTGCGATTACTAATTAAGGCCTCATCTACTCCTAGTCAAGTTTCTTATATGTCACATTTAGATATGTATATATTTTTCTGTATAAATTTATTTTTATATACTATAATTCATCTTGTCTCGACTGGGATTTGAACCCCAACCCTCTCGCACCTTGGACGAGCACGTTACCCCTTGCACCATGGGAAGTTAAACCAAGAATACCGAATAAACTCAAATAATTCTTTAGAATTTTAGGGTTTGTAATCTTTATTAATTTCGAGGTATTTTTATCACGATCAACCTGTTGTTGTTTAACACTCATGTAAATAATTTTACAAAAAAATTCACGCCAAAAGAGTCTTAAGTTTATTTAAAAGCATTTTTCATAGTTTCATAGCAGTTTGAACTTGTAACAGAAGGTTTTTCAATGAAAACGGCCATTTTTCACAATATGCTCATCAGGGAAAGGGTTAACTGGCCCAAGCATTTCAACTGTGTTAAATCTACGTGGAAAGTAACGGTTATTTCAAAGTGTCTTCTTACATACGTAAGAAGACACTTTTTGAATAGCTCTGCTGGGAGTATAGTTGTATAACTTATAATATTCACTTAATAAAATACTGTTTACATGTATATTCCCTTTTAGTTAAGAACAGCATACACGTGGCTACACGAAATGTTATTTTCCATTTTGATCCTACGTGCAATGTGTTCACGTTAACCATAAAACGTGACTTCTTAGGCTGAAAGAAACATCAAATGCGTATTCTCTACTACTGAATGTTAATTCCCAGTTCTACAAGTTTTAAATTAATTTTACACGTAAACAAATAAAAACGCGGCCATTGTGCAAGGGACATTACCTTAGTTAAAAATGGCGGAATGTGTACAATGTGCGTGACTCTTTTTCATTGGATGCAACAGTGTATTTTGTATGACTTCTTTTGTTAGTAATAATAGCACTAACGGGAAGAAAATACTCCTTTTGTTAATGTTAGTAACAGTCTAATATTCAGTATCTAGCAGGATCGGGTGGACTTGAAGCGCAAAAATATCAAGCGCGTTGCTTTCTAAAGTAATCCAAATCAATTTTAACCTTAAGCACACAGATATCAAATTGAAACAAAAAAAAATGACATAATTCGATAGGTTAAGATGCTTAAGCATATTTATTACCAATGTGACACCACAGTATTGCATACGTGTGATTGACTATTTTCATCACGAAATTTCAACCACTTCTGACTTTTGTTGTAGTTTTAGCAAGGCACCTGGTTAAGGTTTGATTTAATGATTGAGTTTGTATGAGAATTGAGACCTCATTTGTTGTCATTATTTATTACTATAAATCTGTTGGGGCTAGACTGTGTATCAGTCTGGGAGATTTTAGTATAGTAACTCTGTCAACAGTTACTTGCATAAATTATGGACAAGAGGCCTGCAATTGTTGTGTTTAGGGAACTCAATCATTGGTTACCATCATAAATATTCCAGGAATCAGTCTGTTTGTTTCTGGTACAGTTACTTGATCAACACTTGTCGTCATAAATATAGAAGGCTTAGATTTGTCAATTAACACTAAGGTAACCTCCAAATATGGAGAGACAAGGTATTTCATATAAATACTGCTACAAGATTTTCAAGGGGCATTCTAGATTGAAGGTTGAAGAATAAGATTCAAAATGCAAGAGTGAGGTTGTAAGAGCTAGAGTCGGGATAGGGATTTTTGAGAGTTAATTCTCAGTGACTTATCAACCATGTGTGAGGAAGAAAAACTCTGTAACTTTAATTATTAATTGTAGAGTAGAAATTTAGAACATTTTATAACAAATAAACAGTGAAATGAAATTAAGAACAGTTATTGTGTATATTTTATGTGGAATTATGGAAGTAGTAGAAATTATAAATTACGAGAGAGAAGAATTTATAACACTTTACATATGTACACTTGTTATTACTGCGGTAAACATAGTGTCAAGCATATAATTAAATGAATCTAATATACTATAATACTATATATTTGCTGTCTGTGGATTGTAAAATGTTTGTTTACATTGTGATTAAAATGATTACTCAAGAATTTGTCAGTAAACTATTTTATACAAAAACGAGTAGGACATATGTGTGAAATTATCTTCAAACCTACTAAAAAGAGCTACGTAATATTTTGTTCTGGAACATTTTATTATGTTTTCGTACACTATTCATGTATATTAAATAACAAACATGTTTGCAACAAACCTTTCAGCAAACGACCATAAGGGTATACAAAACATAACTTTCGGTTTTTAAAAGTTTATAAAAATTGTTCAATCAGATATCAATTTCTTAAATATTATGAAAAACAAACAACTAACAATGGATGTGAGATACTTTAAACTCGCATCAGAGGTATCTTATTTAGAAACGAGTCTCACAAATATTCATTTCAGTTTGAACATGCTGTAGTTAAACCGTCAACACATAATTTTTAACTACTATAGAAACAGATAAATGAAGTTTTTTGTTATCAGAAAACACAATATAGGCTGTATTTCATGTTATTAAGATAAAAGTTGATCGTAAGAAATATAGAAATATAGTTATTAACCTTGTATTACGAATAAGTTGTGTGTATAAAATTTAATATGAATATGAAATTTTATGCAAAAGCCGGAAACAAGATATATGTAAGATGAAGAATGTAATGAAGAATCAGGGCGTAGACGATAAAATACGTCGCTATGATGAAAACAGACGACACCGAAAACTTGTTAACGAACACTCTAGACCCTGAACCTGAAATTAAATCATTAATCTTAATAATTGTTTAAAAGAAACATTTATACATCTTTTATACAGACTTCTATTGGAAAAAATCACTGTAATAAAGTTACAATGGAAATGGAAGGTGTTTTATTATATTTGCTAAAAAAGAACAAGTTTCCATAGGTTGATAAAACAATAAAAAGTCAAAATAAATAAATAAATAACTAAAACACAAATCAAACTTAAACTATATCGCCGTTTTCCGTGTTTCCTATTTTGCATGTATGATGAGCAAATCGATTTTAAAATGAAAAAACCGTTTTAAAAAAGTAAGTTGATTGATCAAATTTCAAAAAAGAACCTGACTGATTTTTCTTCCCAAACCTATAACTCTGTGTCAGTGTTAATAGTGTATTTTTCATTATATTAATTTCCGATAAATTCCGATCATTTAACATCAAAGGTGATAATGGGGAAAGCATAATAATATGACGATGGTGTATTATTTATTGTGTATGGTAAATAAGTTGAAAAAAGAATAAGAACTAATAAAGCAAATTCCGAAAATCATCACGTCATCAACTACAACTTGAGGCAGACTGTATAAACTGATACTTACTGACACCGTAAGCGGGTCTTTCACAAATATATGCCCGTTTATCGGAACATTCCGTGTTAATATATACAGCACCAAATATCATTACTACACAGTTTTCATTGCCGTTTACAAACTTTGGCATCTTAGTCCATGGACTGAAAACAGTAAAATGAGAAATATCTTGACTGACTCATACATTTCTCTAGTCTTATGTTGAAGTACTTAACATTAAAGTAGCCAACAGGGGAGATATAGATATACCGCCCACAGTGTTAATATCTCGTACGTGGTTTCCTAAAAAGCATTTAACAATCAGTTTTAAAATCAAGATAAGATTATGAAATTCATTTCACAGTATGTTCGTGAAGTTGACAGCCTAGCAGCCTGACGTTGGAAGCCTTGGCAGCCTAGCATCCTAAAGAAAACTAAGAATATTACAAACATGAAAACCTTAAGAATAAATTGTGTGAAGAGCTCAATAGTAAAAAATTTGTATATATATATAAATAAATAAATAAATAATATATATATATATATATATATATATATATATATATATATATATATATATATATATATATATATAATATATATATATATATATATATATGTATTCTGTTTGCAAAATTAATAATTCCTAGTGCATCTCTTTATTAAATTACGGAAATTCATATCAAAATGTCACTTTGATTGATATATATATATAATTCATCATCTATGATGATCTCATAAAAAAGAAACATAAAAAAACACATAATTCACAAATTTAAGTTTTAGATCATTTTTCTCAATAATGGTATAACTTATCTGTACGAACATCAACCCGCTAGGTGGAGGGGCGTTCCAACTAGTGTCAAAGCCCCAGTATCCCTCGTGGCCCTCATCGGTCAGTCCGGTATACCATTCTGAAACATTTGAAGTTTGCTTCTGTAGCTGAGAAAGCGTCCAGTTCTGCAAACAGTCAGAGTTGTTTCGGAAATAGTATATTTTTGTGTAAAAATGCAATTAAGTACAAAATATACAACCAAACATGTTTTATACATATAGTATACGTACGGATATGTACTAAATGAAATAAGTATATATACTTACGTGTATTTGAAGAAAGAATGAAATTGTTTGATTTTTCTTTATCCTTACATAGTTACCTTCACCCCTCTCACCCTTCAGGATCTTTGGGAATGAATAATTATGGTTGTCGTCATCAACTCATTGGCCCTTCAACTCTTTGAGTTCGAATCCCGTCAATGTAATCATTGTTTATATAAGAAAGCTATCTTGTATGGCGGTTCAATTCAGGTTCACGTTTAAAGCCACATGAGGTCTTCATCATTCAAGTTAAACTGGAATTACGTCATTTTTCTGTTAATTGTAAACCCGATTATGTATGTAATGTTCTGCGGTTCAGATAGTAATATCCGTCCAAGGTATGTTTCGAATGGGCGGTAACGAAGCTTGCCGAACCACAAATACATGTTATATAATTTTACTAGCATATTCTATAATATTTAAAATGGTTGTCATGGAAATTAATGTCACTTTATCCGTTTCTTATAGTAGCAACTCATCTCTATAGCACCACATGCTACATATTTCTTTTAACGGAAAAAACATTTAAGAAAAATTGTGACCAGATATAAACCTACAAATACGTGTGAAACTAGTGGCAATGAAATTAATGATATAGATATCGATAAGATAAAGTATAAAACTTACCTACCATTAAGCCTTGTAATACATAGACTAACAAGAGCGATAAGTAATTACAAGTATTGCGTGATGATAGCCAATTGCATGTTGCATCCACTGTGGTAACAGGTGACACAGAAATTAAAAACGGATCAAAATGCGTTTTTAAAGGGCCATAAACTCAGCCGCTGAATATGCGCAAGAACTGAATATGCGTAAGGTACTAATCAATTCTGTAAAGTTTCATTTAATTTGCAAAAACAGTGTAAGAGAAGTAGACCGTACAAAACTTTATAACATATAAATCATTAAAGGGCCATAATTTTGACAAATATCACTGAACTTGAAAATGCTGACTATATGCATAACTAGACTTGGTACAGATCATTCTTGTGAAGTGAATGAAATTGCAGCAGTAGTTTCTGAGAAGTCCGGACAAGTTTTGTGACAGACAGTCATACGGTCGGACAGACGAAAGGACAGAAATACCACAAAAATGATCCCTATAAGTTGAAGCTACTATGTAGCTGGCAACACAGAAATCATCAAAATGCAAAACACCGTTTGGACCATAATGCAGCCAAAATTAATCAAGCAGAAAACTCGTGTAATATGCGCAAGGGCTCGAACCAAAAATTGTCGACAATAGCCGCAACAAAACATTTTACTGATCATCGCTGTAAAGTTACATTGAAATTGCACCACTATTCTCTGAAAAGTAGTTCGGACAAGTTTTGTGATGGACGGCGGACAGACAGAAAGACGGACAGACAGACGACGGAGAAGTGATCCCTATTAAGTGATACTATTAATCGGCACATTTTCTGAGGAAAACCTTTGATTTAACATCATGAAAGTTCAGCATGTGCAAGTTACTGAAATCATATTGATAAGTAAGATTACCAATTCATCAAGGCCAGCAAAGGCCATCAGGTGTGACGTCACAGGAAAACTAAGCTCATTACACTTAGAATGGGCTTCATCAAAAGTTGCCAGAGTTTTACTAAAATAATAGCAGTTTGTGTGATCGCCAACATAACGACTGGCCCATCCATTTGGGCATGGTGTATCTGAATAAAAGAAACAATTGTTTGTTTAATATAGAAGCACAGAGGGGACATTCCGATTATTTTTCTTTTCCTATCACGTATCCGCGAAATATAAGTTGAAATAAATTGTTTTGCTAAATAATATGTCCGTAATTGCGCCCGTTGCGCCAAAAAATCTCTTTGCTGAGAGAAAGAAATTGCAGCAATAACAACAGGTGAATATACTCTTTTGTTTGCATAATGCATTCTTTCCAGTTTTACACAGACAGTCTTTGAATGGTGTTTAACCAAATATTTGTGGTTCACTTTTTCATTTTTGTATATTAACGGAAATAAAAATAAATTACATTGTATAATAAGATTAAGCAAAAGTATAGATCGTTTTTATTCTGGGAGAAGTTTTAGTCATAGGGGGATTGCCTCCATTCTTTATCATTCTTCACAGATAAATTGAGGTTAGCTCATATGCCTAATTGTTTGAATTTGCGGCCAGGTATCGTCCATATTCTTAAGAATATGTCTGTGGCGCCGTTAAATGTCGCAACGCCGCTAAATATGCCGCCACTATATGTCGCAAAATCGTCTGTCGTTAAATGTCGCAATGGTAACGTTAAATGCCGTACGATTTTTACTTCCCGTTACGGTATGACCCCCCCCCCCCCCCCCCCACACACACACACACAAGCATCACTTGGACAATATAAGGAACTGTAAAACTGACAACATAGGTCTTAAAGGACAAGTGTAAAGTTAACCGTATGGTTTATGAGTTATGAAGATTTTTCTAATACTTATTATGCATGTTTATTTGTTAATTATGTGTAGCAACAATATTGAATAAATGTCATTTTCATATTTGAACAGGACCGTTTGTCAAATAAATTCAATTATGTTTGTTATAGGACCATAATTAATAAAACTTTGCTATTAGAAGGACTCTTTTTCCGAAATGAGAAATTCAAAATAATCTATTATATCATCATTATATCATTATGATAAAATGTTTTCCTATATTGAACATTGTTTAGAAACACATAATAGCATTCAACTAACAAATCACACAAGCAAAATTATCATCACTACTCAAAATGTTTGAAATATGTATAAAAATGTTTACCCTACCAAACTCATTTTGTAAGCAATACATGTATATACTATGCTGTAACTAAAACATCTCTCACACAGAGCACACGACTTATACGGTTGGCCACCCATATAAACCGTGCATACAACCAAACCAACCATGAGTTATATATTCTTTATAATCTAATGTATGACTCCTATGCATTTTTGACTGACCGGAAGTGACCACAAAACGGTATTATAAATACAGAAAACACAGAACAATGGCTGGTAGCCGGTATACAGATGGGCATAATCATTACCTTTTAAGAATTTCATGGAAAAATGTGAGACAAATGTGCTTCAAGTGTCCTTTCTATTGTGTGTCGAACACATCTGTCTCATTTCCAATTTTGTCGCAAATATGAATGTTTATGAACACATCGGTCACACTTTGTTAGACAAATGTGCTCCGAGACAAATGTGCTCCTACATAGCATTGCTTTTTCATCAGTGTACCATCGTCTATAGCGGTTCAGAGAGACAAAATATGTTACTTATTTACTTATGTCCAAACAGAACACCGTAATCAGTCGATATTTAAACCATACAATATCGTGACTCGTTACGCATCTCGCGTTTTGTTTCGCATCTTGTGCGTCGACGCGAGACGAGATCAAATACCGCCAAATAGTACCTTTTTAGTTATATAAAACTGACATTTTTCAAAGAGCTACAAAACATAACAAGAACCATTTTAGAGAACAAATCCTTATATCATTTTAAAAAATTATTATAAAATTGATATTAAATGAGAAAAGTATATCTTTTAAGAAAAAATTCTAGCGTCACATTTTTAACTGTAAAATCACTGCTGTGAATATATTTGTAATAACAAAATTATCTTATTATCGTCTGTTGCGAATCTGAGCCACATAGAATATTTATTTAACAAATAAAACATGGCCTTGAGGGCAATATGCAAGTTTACGGACTGGTTGGTCAGACTGAGAAAGGTATATGCGCTGAGGGCCATATACCTTCCGAGGTCTGACCAACCAGTCCGTAAACTTGCATTTTGCCCGAAAGGCCATGTTTTATTTGTTATATTATACCGAATTTAATCATTTTATTCCTTTGTTTTTTTTGCTGTAATTTTTACAATTATTTGTTTTTAAATAATTCTTGTTCAGTGTGTGAAAGATCTCAAACCCTTGTCGGATTCTGTTTTATTATTTTTAAGCGATGCAGCAAAAAATCATGCTCTTCTTTTAATATTGCATTTTATTAATTAAATTAAATAAATCCGTATCGATAAAGAGGCGAATCGCTTAGCCATTTTTATCGCCTGTTTGTGTCGTCGTGAAATTCGCACGTCGTGAAAGTTACATTTTAAAGGTCTTCATAAGTATTATGGACCGACCCCGGTCTGTATGCGGTTTATGGACCGGATGACGTCATATTAGATATAGAAGGGCGTATGCAAATGAGGTATAATATAAAATAATATTCTTCACTGGTTCTTTGAAAAAAATTTTTATATGGTATAACTAATCTTGACAAAAGGTGCATTCTGATATTGTTCTGAAGCTTGAAAAACAATCATTAAAAAAGACCTTGACAATCTTATTTTCATGTTTGTCACAAAAACGCCGGAATTTTCTAAATGACAGAAAATCACACAGAAAACTAGAAAATGACCATTTAAAATTGTATAAGGTAATTTAAAAGTGTATGGGTGTTTAAAAAAAGTATAAAATATAAAATATAGTATAAAATAATCGTTCTTTTTTTATTTTACATTTTCCGTTTTAAAATTGTCATTCGGTATTTTATACACTGCTACCGTTTATTATGGTTCCCTGTCCAATTATGGTTCCCACATAAGTGCACAGGACACCAGTCTACGCTTCCGCTTTCAATCAAAATACCTCGGCTTTTATCGTTATTTTGTAACTCGAAAAGTTGCGATGTGTCAATTCGGTACTTCGGACGAAACTTTTCATCTATCAGGTACTCGCGTTACCGTAAAGCTTGCTTTGAGAGCAGGCCCTTCAGGCCAGCTCCTCGAGCTCGCTATTTAAATTTGATTTAGAAACTATATCTTTTTGCCCTGACATTAGAGAAAATCTAATAGATATATTCACTTTGAAATTTCGTTGTTTTACCTCATAGCAAGTATTCATCTTAATCGTTATTTTTTTTTTTATTTTCTTGATATGAAGTTAATGTATGCATGACTCAAATTTTTCATAATCGTAATTAAACGATCAGTATTTACCATTTAACTTTCAATAAGCTAACATTCTACGCGGTTTTGTATAGTACAATCCCCCAATTACGTCACATCCGGTAAGGGGAGTAAATCTTCCTCGACGCATATCGCTTAAATGAAAGGGTCTATATAATGAATTCTAATTTGTTAAATAATTGTAATTTTTACCTTCATTGTGCCTTTTATGCAAAAATAATTCCAAATATTTTCGAATTAAACAAAATTTTCACAGCTGCAAAAAGACCTCACGCATGGTTTTTTTTTAAGAAGCAAACTCGTGTTATAACACTGGCTGGGGCGACATCAAGGGGTGTTTCTGCTAAAAAATGTCGAGGCCTAACGAGATAAGTATTTTGCAGAAACATTCCGAGCTGTCGCCCAGCCAGTGTTATACTCACGTAACAAACTCGTTTCATATACCTGTTTTATCGCATTTTCTATTTTTTTGGAAAAGAAATAATATTAAAAAACACAATAAAACGTGCAGTTCTCTCTCTTGTGCCATTTCACGTTTTCACCTTCTCACCAATACCAGCTAATGAAGTCGTAAGCTACCTTACAGCTATATATAATATTGAAAACTTAAAACAACGTCCAATGATTGAGACGGATTGTAAACTGATAGTTTGTGGAGAAAGTTATTCGAATGATAAAGCGATATTACCAAGCGACACTCGACAATCGCAAACGACGGCGATAATCTATAATCTCAAACGTCAAATTCGCGATATCCACTATAAAAGCATGATATATCGCGATGTCGCTACGCATTGTCGAGTAACGTATCGCATTGTCGCTATGTCACTTCGCGTTGTCGCGATGTCACTTCGCGTTGTAGTATGTTGACCCTGCAAATGCGACGACGACATAATCAAACGACTCGCGACAATGCGAAGCAACATTTTCCTAATGTCATATCGTATGTCGCGTGTCGCGGTTTTGTTTGAGGGTCGACGGATATTCCGATCCGAACCGCAAACATATGTCAGATATTTTTTCTTGCATATTCTGCCATTTTATTTCATATTAATTAAAATTGTCTACCTCAATATGATATAGTTTACATGTTCATGGAAACTAAAGCCATTTCATCTATAACTATTTTCTTACAATAGCGTATGAACTTAAAACTTAAATAACCACGGCGAAATGACGTCATCCTAAGCACACATTTCCCTTCTAAAATGACGTCATTTTAACGCGGTTCATTTTTAAACTGCGCTAAAATGACGTTGTTGTTTGGCACGCGACTCATCTGGCACCCCCATGCCAAATGAAATTTCCGTCATGGGTAAAACTCACGGAAACGCCAGTCTGCTATGCAAGAAATAGAGAATATTTGTTTATTTTGCATGTAAGATTGAAATATAATTTCACTGAGTGAGCACCAGTTGTAATATTTTCACGAGTGGCGTAGTCACGAGCTAAAATATAATAGCTGGTGTTCACGAATGAAATATATTTTAATCTTATATGTTAAACAAATAAAGTTTCTTTTTATTTCATGCTTTTTAAGTAACTTTAAGTACTTTTTTACTAATTTTGCCGCGTAACGTCGCGCATTCTCCCTTGTGACGTCATTACATCATGACATCACATTGGACCATTATCAATCAATCGATCCCACATGCAATTTTGAAAAATTCACTCTAATTTCAGTAACATTTTAACATGATAATTAACATAACTTTTCTAAAGAACAAAAATTACGCATGCCG